GCGGATACAAGCGGCTGAAATGAGTTTCCCCCACAGGGTTGCTGGGCTCTCCCTTAGAGATAGGGTGAAAAGCTTGGCCATCCAGGAGGGTCTCAGAGTAGAACCGCTGTTCCTCCATGTTGATAGGAGCCAGTTGAGGTGGCTCGGACATCTGATTATAATGCCTCACGGTCGCCTCTCTGGTGAGGTGTTCTGGGTACATCCCACCAGGAGGAGGCTTAGGACACGCTGGAGGGACTGTCTCAGCTGGCCCCTGAACGCCTTGGGATCCCCCTGAAGGAGCTGGCAGAAGTGGCAGGGGAGAGGAAAGTCTGGGTTTCCCTGCTTCGCCTGCTGCCCCCGTGACCCGAACCCGATAAGCGGTGGAAAATGGATGGATGGACATACAATCTTAAAAAATAAATAAATAATATATACAAATAAAAATAAATGGAAACAAAAACTATATCCATCCATCCATCCATCCATCCATTCATCCATCCAGCAACCCATCCATCCATCCATTCTCGTAACTGCTTATTCCCTAATGGGGTTGCGGGGGACAAAATAATATAATACAACATAATAATCCCTATATAATCCCAGTCAATCCTTCCCAAGCCACTGCCTTAGGTAATTCAATTGAGATATTATTTTACATTTTGAAATGTATCAAGAAAGGGGCCTCATGTTTTTTAAACTTCTCAGTAGAGTCCTTCAGAAAACATCTTGTTTATTTGTAGTCTCAAGCATGCACATGTTCCAGGAGTAACTTCGATCTGATTAAAATTGCGCGCCTTGTTAACAGAGAACAAAATAACGCCTGTAAAAGTAACATAAAAGATTACCAAATTGGCTAAAGAGATTGAGGGCAAAATTGAGGGCAAAAGGCAGTGAAGTTGACGGTTTGGAGAAGGTTTTCTGCATAAAGCGACCCCTTATATAAAATTTTATTTTCTCCAAATGCCAGCCATCGCTTACTGTTACGAAGTGCAATGGTGAAGGGCTCTACAGCCAGATCAAAAAGCAGGGGCTAAGAGGACAGCCCTCGTCTTTGTATTTCAAATGGTTTTGATGTTTGAGAGTCAGTAAAAACTGTAGCGGATGGCTGATGATACAATAATTGGATCCATGCCGTGAATTTTCCCCTAAAATCCAGTCTACTAAAAACTGCAAAATTATTTTCAAACTCAACCCGATCAAAGGCTTTTTTTAACACCAAGAGTGACAACATACTCAGCCAAATGTGAGGGGCTGGAATAAACAATGTTGAGCAACCTTCATACATTAGAATATTAATGGTGACCTTTAATGAAATATGTTTTCTCTTTGAAATAGTTGACAGCAGACCGGTGTCAAGTATATTGGCAAGAATCTAGGTGAAATTACAGGGATTTCAAGTTTGGCTTGGAAGTCGACTGTGAGCTGTAGAGCTCTGAATAGGAGTCCCTGAATGCATCATTCATTTGTCTATGATCTGTGACCATACTGCCATCCTGTTTAAGAATTTCAGGAATAGTTTCCCTTGCCCCAGGGTTCTTGAGTAGGGTTGCTAATAGTTTATCGGGTTTGCTGCCATGCACATAAAATTTGGATTCATCCCCAGAAGCAAATGTTCAGCTAAGTGTGTTGTCATTTGGTCTTGTTTGAATATAGGATATTTTTTAATGATTTCAATTAGTTTTAAGTCAAAATGAAAAGGAACTCTGAGATCTTAGTAATTAAACAAGAACAGGCTTTATCAGAAGTTATCAGAAAAACAGAAAAGCGTCTCCCTCCTCTAAATCAGTAAGCCAACGTGCAGAGATAGAGTTTTCTGTGTTGCAGCCTCCAGGTTTCTGGAATGTTCTGACTGTAAATAGTCAGAGCTTCTCATTCCTAGATATATTTTCAAAAAACTCCCCAAATTCCTTCATTTCATCATTTACTAGCTAGATTTATTTTCCCTCTTCAACAGACTTGTGTAAGCTATTTTGAAGCTGGTTTTTCCAGTCTAGACTGTGTAAAATCTCTTTCTCATCATCAACAATTTAAGTTTTTATTGTTTCTTATCGGTGAAGTCCAACTTTTTGGGGATTCTTCGAGAGTGACAGATTAAATATGAGGTATTGCATCTTTATCTGTTTATCTAATGTAGTTTTCCAGGGCCTTTTACATCAAGTGGACAGTCAGCCAGTCAGGGACTTCTGGAGCATGGCCAAAAATCTACCCCTTTCTCAACTCAATGATTTTTTTAAGCCTCAGATTTATTCAGTATGATAAATCAGCGTCAGTGAGATAGAACATTAGAATTGGCTGTTCACCATATCATAGTAGTCATGGCGTGTCATCCATGACTGCATCTTTCTCTATGACTAAAAGGAAAAACATTTTATTGGCAGATATTCTTACTGGCCATTTTGCTTAAAGAACAGAAAAACGTTGAGGCAAGCAGAAGAACATCATTGCTCTGTTGTTGTTTTTTTCCCTTTAAGATGAAGGTGATATTTTTCTTTCCCTTTTGTTTATTCCAGGGCAACTACCCTCTACTGGTATGGAAAGCTATGTCCACTTGCATAATTGTCAGATATTCATGTTGGTTTGGTGTTTAAGAGCACAAAAGTTGTCATTCTCAATGTTAGATCAAGGAGCAGGTTGCGCTTGAGGTTACTTCATCAAAGCACTTATCCCAATTTATACGAAAGGCACCGGGTATTCTTAGTTTCATACAGCATCAATATTTCCCTTTCTTTGGTAGAAACCCCCAAGTATTTTTAAATTAGTCGTTATAGAATCAATGCAAGAATGCATTTAAAGAAACTCTCACATTCAAAGTTCTTTGACAGATTAAACCTTTCAATAGTTGACTTTATCAGTTTATGATTGAATTCTTCTTTTGACTTTATTTTCAAAAGAGCCCCTGCTCTTTGTAGCAGCTATGTGTGACATGACAGGGGACAGGATTGTGAAAGGCAAAAGTCAGAGAAATATACTTTTTTTCCCTCACCATTACAGGGATCTATAAGAATGGCTATCATGTCGGCATGACATTGTATACTGTCCAAGGACTTTTTTTTGCGGACTAGCCCAAAATATCTTTACACCCCCTCCAGACAGCAATAATGGTCAGAGTGACTATGGGGGGAAAAGCAAAAAAAATGTGGAACTTGATGGAAATAGCATTAGTAATCCACAAATATAACTGTCGGAGACCTAGATTTGTTGGCATGTTTGTAATTGCTCTTAAAGTAAAGAGAGAAGCAGTGAAGGGAAGGAGAGGCCGAGGGCAGGACAGACAGAGAAGGACTGCAGGGGGTTTATTTGGCAAACCATCTCTCCTTTGCGCCGCAGCTCTTCCATCAGCATGATTGTCAATAATTGCCTTCTCACTACTGCTGCACTGTTGACATTTATGTAATCCGTCTACCTGTTCCTCTTCTCCATCCTCTCTTATCTTTACCTTTACTCTTGTATCTCTTGTCTTTCAGTTCTTCTGCCTGTTTTTCCTCTTTATCTCTGCCTTTACCTCTTTTTAATTAATATATATATATATGTTTTCTGCTGTTGAAATCTGTCTCATAAATCACTCTGACAGGTTGCCCTTTTTATGGCTGGCAAGGGCAGAAATAATAAATAATAAAGTAATAATAATAATAAAGTTATAGCCCAAAATATCTTTACACCCCCTGCAGACAGCAATAAATCGGTCACAGATATGACTGGCATATCTCACATAACTTCTACATTTTAAGATGCAAGTGTCTATATTGATTCTTTTGTATAACAGAGGAAGGCATCTCCTGCGCATGAGGAATGTTCCAGCACTACTTGTGTGACAGTGAATCATCTATTTGTCACCCTTAGTGACCGAGCAAAATAAGCAGACATTCATGGGAAACGAATAAAAGCCCTTTGTCTTAACAGCACAGGGCTGCAGTGTTTGTTTGGGTGGATTCAATAGAGGGAGAGCCATCCAATGTAATAACTCCAGCACTTTTTTCAATTTAGAATTCTTCTCACTGTTAATTTGTGGTAAAATGATTTTTTAAAAATACTGCTACAGAAAACAGAGCATAGAATCATTGCTCTGTTGTTGATTTTTGCTAGAATTTCTTGTCTGTAATTCAAAGTACTCGATTGTGTTGTAACAGTTCCCATTTTTTACTACAAGCTCACAGGTTTTGTTTGCGGAAGAAAACATACAATAACAGTAATAAAAGACCAGCTGTGACATAATTATGCCTTATGGTCTGTGAAGTGAGTTATGAAGCATTATTTTGGAACAGCTTGGTGCTGACGCACAGGTACTGGAGTGAGAATCTGAAAGAATTGACATAATTTTAAAAGTTGTGATGTAGCACTTTTAACCAGAACACTAAAAAAAGAGACATACTGCATCAAATGACACTTGAGTCCTTATAGCTTGGGTGATATAATTTAAGAGACTTCAAAATTTGGACCAACAGAGTAAGGTTTGAAGGTTTGACGTTAAAGAGACAAGAGATTTGAGGTTTTGTTACTCTGTTGTGTATACCGAAATCACTCACTGACATACAGACAATATATTGTCATATAGTTTTCAGTTTTCATATAGTTTTTGTCGTATCTCCTATTTTAGGGAGATAATAATTCAGCGCGGACCAACTGTGTCTTGACGTTAACCATACTTTATTAAAACTTCCTGCAGACGTAACACGTCCAACCCCGTGATCCCACACACACAATCCTATTGGTCTACTATACTTTCTGTAACGTAACATGCGTAAAGCATTAACCCTTAATGCAGAGTATTCAGATACACCACATCTCCCTTTTTTTCTGGATAAAAGTCCATCAAAACCTGTGGAAGAGAACAGTGTTAAACGAATCCTTAACAAAAACTTCTGATTCTCTTTTCATTACATCCTAACTCCTATTTCCAAATACGACATTTACAAACTTATTTTCTGTAGTATATGTGTCCCCTGTAACTGGTACATTGTAAAACAACATTTTAACACATCCTGAAGATTAACAAAATCTTTTTCTTTATTTGATTTTATTTATAAGTTCAGTCTAGTGGGCTGTTTAATCACTCTCCCAGACCTGGTTGTTCTGGGAATAGAAACCCCCGGAGAGTGCACAGGAGACCCCACAGCAGGTGGTGCATGATCCTGCTCTAGGACCGGCAGTGGCTCCTGTTGCTGCTGTCCACCCTCATCTTGTGCTGGAGACTGGAGTGGTATAAGATGCATGCGGTTTCGTCTTACCACTCCATGTGGCGCATCCACAAGGTACGATCTCGGAGAGGTGTGACTCTGGATCACTGTCCCTGATGTTTGTGTGTCAGTTATCCACACATTCTGACCTGATGACAGGCTCCCGAGTGGCTTCGCACGATGACGCCTGTTGAAGTTTGCAGCATCTGTCATCCTCTTCACCCTTTCTTTCTGAAACAGCAAGCTGCGGTCAGGCAGCTCAGGTTGTAGCTCAGAGGGATGTGTCGGCACTGTGGTGCGGAGACGTCGAACCATGAGCAACTGTGCTGGGCTGTATCCGTTCTGAAGAGGAGTGGCTCTGTATGCGAGAAGAGCCATGTACGGGTCGGTTGCCTTCTTCAGAAGATTTTTCATGGTCTGCACAGCTCGCTCAGCCTCGCCATTGCTACGTGGGAATTTGGGACTACTGGTAAGGTGTTTGAACCCATATGCTGCGGCAAAGGAAGCGAACGCTTGACCGGAAAATTGAGGTCCATTGTCAGACATGAAACTCTCTGGGATGCCATGCCTGGCAAACATTGATTTTAGATGATTAATCACATCCTTGCATTTTGTGTGTGACAGCAGGGCAAGCTCGACATATCTGGAGAAGTAATCAACAACAAGGAGATATGTTTTCCCCCCCAGCTCAAAAAGGTTGGCCCCCAGCTTTTGCCACGGACGCTCAGGGCATTCTGATGGCATGAGTGGCTCACTGTGATTGCGGCGCTCTTGCAGGCACGTTTTACATCTGAGCACCATCTCTGTGATTTGTTGTCCGAGCCTGTTTAGCACATCGTTCCGCATTGTTGCTGGAATGACCAGACGTGTGTCCTTCAGCAACAGTCCATCTTGTGTGGCCTGTTCAGGCCAGACATTTTTCTGAAGCGGTTCCTGCTTTGCGTGCTCTGGCCATCCGTCTGCACACATTTTCATGACGCGAGAGCATACACTGTCAGCCTCCAGCTGTGCCTTGAGTGTGTCCATAAACGTGGGACTGACAGGTAAATTGTTGACAATGCAGTCCACGTAAATGTTTGTGCTCTCCATTAGTTCAGTGTCATTTGCGGTCATTTGTTTCTGTACTGGTGACCGTGACAACGTGTCGGCAGTCCAGAGTGACTTCCCCGGAACATGCACAATGTCATAGGAGTAGCGCATGAGCCTCATTCGAAAACGCTGTATCCTTGGTGGCAACAGGTCGAGTGCTTGTGCGCCTAGTAAGCTAAGGAGAGGTTTATGGTCAGTCTCTAGGCAGAAATGCTTTCCTAACAAAAAGTCCCGGAAGCGCTCACATGCCCAGGTTAGGCCCAGGGCCTCCTTTTCGACTTGTGCGTAGCGTTGCTCGGTGGGTGAAAGTGAGCGGGATGCGTAGGCTACTGGCCTCCACTCACTGTCCCATTTCTGGAGGAGCACGCCCCCCAGTCCATACGATGAAGCGTCTGCCGATACTTTGGTGTCCCTGTTCGTGTCATACATTGCCAGGACCGGTGGAGAGGTTAGTGCCTCTTTCAGCACCCTGAAAGCCTCCGCCTGGTCTACACCCCACAGCCAGCAATTTTTCTTTGAGAGGAGGTCACGGAGAGCTTTGTCTTTCTCTGCCAGCTGGGGTATGAATTTTCCCACCTGGTTTACCATCCCCAGGAAGCTTCTCAACTCGCTCACGTTCATAGGCTCTTTCATGTCCCTGATAGCCTTTATCTTCTCTGGATCGGGCCTGATACCTGAGGCGGTGATGACATGCCCAAGGAAGACCACTTCACTCCTGGAGAGCTCACACTTGTCTGTGTTCAACGTTACCCCTGCTTGCTCGAGCTTTTTCAGCAGGGCATGTAGACGAATGTCGTGCTGCTCTTGATCTTTTCCACACACCAGCAGGTCATCGATGTGGCAGACCACCCCGTCCAGTCCGTCTATGACCTCTGCCATTACACGCTGGAAGTGTTCTGGCGCAGAGTTGATTCCAAACGGAAGACGCTGGAAATGGTACCGTCCGAAAGGTGTTATAAATGTTGTGAGTTTCGCTGACTCCTCTGTTAAGGGAATCTGCCAGAACCGCATGTTCGCGTCTAGTTTACTGAAGACTCTGGCTCCAGCTAGCATCCCTAGGCTCTGATCGACTGATGGCAGTACATACTTCTCGCGGCACACATACTGGTTCAAGCCTGTGAAGTCCACACACAAGCGTAGTCGCTGGTTGTTCTTCTTTGGGACGACGACAATGCCAGCGCACCAATCTGTAGGCTCCTCAACGCGCCTGATGACCCCCATCTCTTCCATCCGCTGGAGCTCCTCCTTCACCTTTTCCACCAGAGGCAGAGGGATTCTCCGTGGTGTCTTTAAAGAGAAAGGTACAGCATTTGGCTTGAGCTTGATATGGTAAGGTCGTTGAGTGTCGCCTAGGCCCTTGTAAAGTTTTGGGTAGGTTGTCTTTAAGGAGTCCATAGTGACACTGTCAACTCGAATAAGTATGCCCAAGGCAATAATGGCTGGTAACCCGAGCAAAGGTGTGCCCAGGTTTTTGACCACATAAACCTTCTCCTCCGTCTGCTTGGCTTTGTAAGTCAGCTGCATTTTTGCATAGCCTACTACCCCCAGCTGTATCTTTCCTGGACCCAGCAAGGGTTTCTCTGGCTCATGGAGAACAGGCCTTTGTGCCCCCGGGTACAAGTCTTTCAGGTCACTCTCAGAAATGGCAGTTACATCTGCCCCAGTGTCAAGTTTGAACTTCAGCCGTTTCTCTTTTATCTGCACATCCACCTCCCACTTATTGGTTTTGCATGTCACAGAACCCAGGAAGAAACTTTTCCTCTCTTCTTCCTCAATGCACGCTACTACAGCCTTGTTTCTACATACGCGCTGGTAGTGGCCTTTTTTTCCGCAGCCCCGGCATTTTGTGTCATTGGCGGGACATTCTGCTCTGGCGTGAGAAGGACCTCCACATTTGAAACACTGGGTGCTGTGCTGCATGTCTCTGCCTTGCGTGTGTTGGCGTGCACGTGCACCACTGTTTTTCAGGTTTGAATATTTCTGTCCCTTTTTAATCAGTCTGTCTACGGAGCAACTCTCCATCTGCATCACACTGCTAGCGTCACTCCTAAGTGTGCTCTGTTGCTTTTTCACTTCTTCCGACTGCCTTGCCATATCTATGGCTTTTTGTAAAGTCAAATTTACCTCCATCTGCAGTCGTTCGGAAAGTCTGGTGTCTGCAAGTCCCACTACGATCCTGTCTCGTATGAGCTCATCATGCAAGTCCCCGTATTTACAGTGCTCTGCTAGAGCATGCAGGGCAGTGACAAATGCTTCGACAGTCTCATTAGGCTCTTGTTTTCGCAAATTGAAGCATGCACGTTCAAACGCAATGTTCCTTTTCACAACAAAGAAATCCACGAATCCTTTTTTTACCTTGTCATATTCTTTCTTGTCGGCATCACTCAGCTTTAGTCCTCTCAATACATCGTCGGCTTCATCCCCCATACAATATATCAGAGTGTTAATCTGGTTTTCCTCGGAGTTCGTGGCCAAGTTGCTCGCTTGCCGAAATCTATCGAACCTCCGGATCCATTTTGTCCATTCGAGCGGTTTGCCGAAATCGAAGGGCTCCGGTGGCTGGATGTTAAATGTAGCAGTGGGTGCGCTAGCCGCCATGCTCACTTCCCTTTGCTGCACGTTAACGTTTTCCTCACGTTGTTCCGTCATAACATCCACCACTGTCTCTCCCTCCGTCTCTGTCGCCGTGGACCAAGTTCCGTTTCAACTTTTACTTTCCCGTCATAAACACAGCACTTCTGACACCATGTCGTATCTCCTATTTTAGGGAGATAATAATTCAGCACGGACCAACTGTGTCTTGACGTTAACCATACTTTATTAAAACTTCCTGCTGACGTAACACGTCCAACCCCGTGATCCCACACACACAATCCTATTGGTCTACTATACTTTCTGTAACGTAACATGCGTAAAGCATTAACCCTTAATGCAGAGTATTCAGATACACCACAGTTTTCAGTTTTTCATCCATCCATCCATCCATACATCCATCCATACATCCATCCATCCATCCATCCATCCATCCATCCATCCATCCATCCATCCATACATACATACATACATACATACATACATACATACATACATACAT